CAACTCCCCTTGGGCATGTCTGCACCCTCCAGCTCCACGTATCGTGCATCCTTTACCTTCTTGGAATAGTTCTCATACCGTAGCACAACTGTTCCTATATTTTTTATTACTTTCTCCAGTTTATATACCTGTATCTTTGATGGCCTGACTCTATCCTGTTTCTTTTGCTTTTTACTGACCCTGTATTCTTGTCCTGCAGCTTTTTATTCTTCTGTTTTGATCCCTTCCACAGACAGTTTGGCTGATCGTGCACTTTGGTGCAATGAAAACTCGTGCTCTAGTCTTAGATCTGATTTTCTCCACAAAAAGTGTTAAATTACTAATTGAGTGCACATGCCATATTCCACTTCATCCCTCCCTCTACGCTCAAGTAACATTTCTCTATAAATAGTTGCAACAAGACAGAGCTCAGAGTTATTTGGAAATACAGTTTCTGCCATCATTTTTCTCTTTTTTGGTACTACTGAGGCAAATATTTCATTAGTGATCTTCAGTAAAAATACCAGAAATTACCAAAGATGGGAAGATTGATCAGCACAGAATTGTTGTAATGTGCATGAAGAACCTGATGACGTGATGCGCTACATAAAAAGGCAAGGTTAGAAATTACTTAGAGATAATATCTTTTTTTTGCTATATTCCAAAACTTGATCCAAATGTAACAGCTGATCACAGGTGTACAGAGCCATAACTGAACAGGCAAGAAAAATGTAATATGAGGATGTTACAACATGGAAAGTATTTCTGGGCAATAGCAACAGAGATCTATGTTAATGCTTAGTGGATCAGAGCAAGGCTGTGGATGTTGTTTACTTGGACTTAGTAAAGCCTTTGACACTGTTTCCAACAGCATTCTCCTGGAGAAACTGGCTGCTCATGGCTTGGATGGGCACAGACTTTGCTGGGTAAAACACTGGCGGGGTGGCCAAGCCCAGAGGGTTGTGGTAAATGGAATTAAATCCAGTTGGCAGCCAGTCACAAGTGGTGTTCCCCAGGACTCAGTGTTGGGGCTGGTTCTGTTTAATATTATCAATCAGCTGCATGAGGGGATCGAGGGCACCCTCAGTAAGTGTGTGGATGAGACCAAACTGTGTGGGAATGTTGATCTGCTTGAGGGTAGGAAGGCTCTTCAGAGGGATCTGGACAGGCTGGATCAGCAGTGTTAGGTTAAAGGCTGGATCTTAAAGGTCTTTGCCAACCTACATGATTCTATGATTTATGAAGGCATTTCTGCCCCATCCCTGGAAGTGTTCAAGGCCAGGCTGGATGAGGCTTTGAGCAACCTGGTCTAGTGGAAGGTGTCCCTGCCCATGGCAGGGGGGTTGGAACTAGATGATCTTTAAGGTCCCTTCCAACCCAAACCATTCTGTGATTCTATGATTCTTGGGGTATTGGACACTGTAGGCTCAAGAAGGATTAAGTCAAAGAAAGTTTGGGAAGGATTAAGTCCACAAGCACAGAGAAGGGTCTGTTGATCAGAACAATGGAAAAACAGTCTTAGAAGACCAGAGGAGTTGGCTCATATCCTTCAGGAAAAGGGATTCTCAGAAGAAATACTGATGTTGTCAGGAAACAGAAGCAGGCAGTGGGCATTAACTACTGCTGATCAGCTGACTATTAACATAGAGAACACAGTGCTTTCGTGTAGCCTGCATCATACTAGCCCACTGGTGCACTGAATTAGGTCTAGATGGATGTATCTGTTTTCTGGTCACAGTGATCCATTTTACTAGAGAGGAAGTGACAAAAGTGTATTATTATATTTACAGATAAATATATGCTTTATATTTGATGTACAGGGATTTGTCTGCTTACCAGGATTGAACAATGAAATATTTAATCCTTTTTTTCCTTTAGCCTTGGACTGCATATGAATGCAGTTTCATATTACAGAAACATTATGTCTTGCATTAACAGATAAAAAGTTCCGGTACTCAAATCTCGTAGCAGAAATAATTTTATAAATATATAGGTACATGTGCTGCAAAAATGTCTTGTTGACTTTCTCATGAGACGTGCTAAAGGACACTGTGACTGCAAACATTAAGAAAAATCCAGAATTTTACAAAGAAATAGTTAAAATAAAAAACCCAGCATGGCTTAAGAAGAGATTTGTAGTATTTATGTTTCCCAGTCAGCACTATCTATTGAGCTTCAGAGGGAAATTTCTCTTTAGGAAGGTGTGCTGGTTTTGGCAGGGATAGAGTTAATTTTCTTCACGGCAGCTGGATGGGGCTGTGTTTTGGATTTGTGCAGAAAACAGTGTTCATAACGTAGAGATGTTTACATCACTGCTGAGCAGTGCTTGCACAGACCCTCACATGCTCTGTGAGCAGTTCAGGGCTTTGTCTGCAGAGAGACTGATCCTGGCCATTGTCCCAGCCAGCCTCCTGCATCATGGGGATCACCATCTTGATCCAATACAGCGACTGCTACTTAACAAGTGGCGTTTAGAGGGGGGGCAGGTGGGACGACAAATCGGACAAGCTGCCGTGACTGAAAAACTCCAATTATTTTTCTGTTTTCACTCTCTCTTTGAGTAGTTTTTTCTTACTGATTGGTTCCAAAATTGAGGATGCAAACGTATTTGACCTGTTGGTCCATCTGCTACAAAAAGCTGAATTCTGACTATTCTAGATCTCAAAAAAAAAAAAAAAAAA